TTTAAATATTATCACAGCATCAATCGAATAACGATATGAAAACAGCTAAACGACGAGTCAATTTATCTAATTCACAATAGTATTGGATCAAAAGAAGGAAAACACTAGTTGAGGCACATGTTCGAACCTTAATAGGTGTATATATTGTTATGACGAAGAAGTTGAAGTGAAAAGGACAAACATAAGGAATGTATCCATTTTCAAAAATCTGCAAGGATAGAAAACAATGATGAAACGTATAATATAGCAAGAGATTTTTATTATTTTAAGAAATTGATGAAAAAGATAAACATAAAGCATTCATATATTATCAAAAAATTAGCAGAAATAGGTGACGCTGGCGAAACATTACTGTTGGATATTGTTACGTATAGTGAAGGAACTGGAATTGAAAAGGATGAACATAAGTCATCTATTTATTTAAAATTCGCAAAGGTGGGAACTTTGATGAAACGTATAATCCAGGTGAGAAATTGTTGTTATATGAATAGAATTGGTAGTAAAAAGTATGAACATAATGGGTGGCGCTAGTGGAATATTTAATAGTAGATATTGTTGTGACGAAGAAATTGGGTGAACATAAGGCATTCGTTTATTTTTAAAATCTGCGGAGATGGGAAATGCTGGAACATATAGGTTAGGTGCTGGAAAAAGGGCCGAAAATAATTTTTCCAAAGGTTTTTTTTTACATAAATCAATTTAGAATAAAAATTTGATTATTTTTTACTTAAGATACAAAAGTAGTTGTGTTAATAAAATTTTGCAGTATAGCTCTTTAAAGTTTATCTTTTTTTTATATCATATTCGGCCCTTTTCTCAGTACCTAGCCCAGCATAGCGAACATTCATTGTGATTGGTTAGATTTTGTGGATCATCTTGTGATTTTATTTGCTAATCATCCAATCAAATTATGAAATAATCGAGATAATCGTTGTGATGATCGTGGAATAATGACGGGTATGTAATATTAATATTGGTCTTTAAAGTTTTATTCAAATATTAAGACACATCGTTATGCACATAATAAATACCCTTAATACTTTATAATCTCTTATAAAGAAGAAAGATCGAATTTATTATTGTGAGATCAATAAATTTTATCTATTCTATCAATTAATACAGTTCCTTTTTGCCTTTCCGTACGTTTTCGTTAAATATTGCAAATAGTGCTAAAATTTGAGGGTTTTGAATTGAAAATATAGAATCTAACAAATTTACATATACTCTTTTGCTAACAACACTAACTTAATCCTGCAAAGAGATGTAGAGAAGTAGAGAAATATATTAGTATAAGATCAAAAAAAAGTAAAATAAAATATCATTTTAAAAGTAACAATAGTAAAAGCATAAAAAATAATAAGCATATCATCTAACCTGTTATTTATAAACCGCAAACAACATCTTGAGAAAACTATAAATAAATAAATAAATATATATATATAAACCGAAAAAAGTTAAATCGTATAGTTTAAATAGATTACAAACCAAATAGAAAGTTTTAGAATACTAAAAAGTGGTTCTCATCTAACTTCCGAATTACCTCGCCGATTACCAAATTACTTTACCGTCTTGTAGAAAAGAAGGTATAGTTTCTAAATATTTATATCACAACCTCTGCGAATTCACATTCGTGGCTGCGAATCAATTGTGACTCTCGTGACGGAAAATCGTTACTTTAATAATACTTTAGTATGACGAGATGATCTACAAAAATCAGCCAATCACAATAAAAGTTCGCTATGCTATTTAAACCCTAAACCGCTAATCTAATTGATCACACTAACCCTACCCATCTAAACTTAAAATTTATACATCAAAAAAATTCTATCTACGTTTAAAAAACCCATGTAAGTAGACAACACCCACGAACTAAAATATTATAATATATAGGGCTGCTCAATGATAATGTTGTACTCCGAATTTTGGTCTGTCTCGATTCAGAATCGGAACAGTCCCGGATGAGAATTTTGTAGTTTTGGCCCGAATTATACTATAAAGTCTTAATTCCGCCAAACCAATTCACAAGATTCCTATCCGGAACAGTCTGATCCTGAATCGTGACGATTTCAATATGGAGTACGACCAATAATACAATAATACACACCTTAAAACGACGACATTAACGAAGTGATAGAATAACATCAACACTAAAGACTTCGGCACCAGCACTACACACAACATTCCACAAAGGTAGGTCACGTGATCAAGAACTTGAACGAACAACGATTTTTATATGGGGTTTATAGGGTTTATACTTGGTAGAGGATTAATGTAATATTATAGACGATGTATAATGTGAAGACTTATTATTTAATAAAGCAAAACGTAGAGTTCCAATCCGGATAAATCCGTCATCCATTTATTCATATCCAAATTTATCTGGATATCCATTTACTATTAATATCCGGATAATCCAACAGATATCCGGATAATTATCCGGATATCAATAGTAACCAGATATCCAAATATATTCGGATATTGGATATCCGATGGATAAATGGATAAACGGATAATGGATTGGAACTCTAGCAAAACGAGACTTATCTTTTTCTCAGGGCGATAACGCCCTTTATTTATAACAAATCTTAATTACGACTTATTTTACTACAAAAAAATTTCACTTTTACATTTTCTTTATTTCATCCGACCCCTCTCACTTATCTATCCAAACCCTTATAATTATAAAATCCCTTTTCGCTATGATATCCCCGTCCTTGATATGTTTAAGAAATCGCATTAGTGAGATTAATTGAAGGGATGTCCATATCAAGTAATTGATCGTCCTACCCGCTCACACGTGATACGCCGGCAGCTTATTTGCATCACGTTGTTGAGCTAACAATATTTATTATAGTGCTGAATATTTTTATTTTGAAAGTTAAAAATGTCCAAAAATATCAACTACTGTTCCGTGCCAACACTGTTACAGAGTGTCACGTACATTAATTATTAATGTACGTGACACTCTATAGTATGTTACAATTAAGCATAACATATTTTTTGTTATTTTGTGCAACAATTTGTCGGATCTCACTCTGTATCGTTTTGATTGACGACGTCCAAATAGTCCCAAATAGTGGTACTCCTCATAGTTACTCAGTTTTACTCAATTCTGATTCAACGTCCATTGTTCGAAAAATGCGGTGGTTGGTTATTCAACTTTCTTTTTAACAAACAGAAACACCAATAAATATAAATATTATATAGATTTAGGCTTGGAAAATTTTACTGTACATCATCTATCTGATATATGAATTACAGGGGTGCACGTTAGTAATTTATTTTATCAATTATTATTATTAATTAATTAACGGAATTAATTATCACTTATTAGAATTAAAAATGTACCCGATAGATGTAAGAACTATAAAAATATAAGAATGCAAAAGTTAAAATACGTATGTGATGTTTACTTAAAAATCTTAAATCGTCCGCAGTAGTTTATAGTTTCTTTTCGAACTGAGTAAAAGTTGGAGTAAAAAATTGATATTAAAATAAAAGTTGAAATAAATTGCAAAAGAACATAGAGATAAAACTGCATTAACAATGAGACATAAATCATCTTGGAACAATTATATTTTTGTAAGGAAAATAAGAGTAAGGCAGAGATTTTATCAACGTAAGACTTAATAAAATGCATCGCTAAAAGGATTGGTTAGTTTACTATAATTACACCACAGTAGACAATTCTCAATACTAGCAAGAGCACTATATAAAATATCATTATCAGTTCTTCGTTCGTCAAAGATGATTGTGAGGCTCACATTCTTTATACATGCTTTGCACTCTTCCATTAATTCGATAACTTCTCTTCTATGTTTGTAGCACATAAAACAATTTCAACACCTCTTAGCTGGGTCACCTTCGTAAACAATTGATCTTCTCTAAAGAATCTTTAAACCTAATAAATGACTTTTGGTATTGCAAATATTGTAATTTTTCATCGCATTTGGTCCGTGATTTCAAGATGTCATGACCGCCTCAACAGCAACGATGCGATTAATATAGATCTTGAAATTTTTTTTATTAAATTGGGCTTTCTCGTAGATTATAAATCTAACATTTATTAAATTGGTGATAATGCTGAGCGTTGGAACAATCGGTGATAGTGTTGGTGGCATTAGCTGTTCCTTCTATGAACTCGCCTAATTTTGGCCTTATATTTGATACGGTTCATCATCTTTTGTTATTATGATGAATTTATTAACTTAACAGTATATCAAATTTTGTCAAATTTAATTGTTTAACTATTCTTGGACTAGTATTACTATCGTGCATATACTTGCTGCCCAAATCCCAAACTATTATAATTTGGGCTTATCCATTCCAAATCCAGGGAACCTGGCACGCCTGAAATCATTTGCCATGCCATTTAGCAAATACATGCCAGGATGTCACCCTGGCATGCATACAATAAGTATAGTAAAAAAAAAATTTATTATTTAAATATGATTAAATTTTTTTTTAACCAAGTTTATACACAAATAACTTTATAATAAAAGCATGCCATCCTAATTTTTGAAGCAATGGCATACCAGTAATCACTGTGCCAGGTTTCAAAACTAAAATAAGTGGATTCTTGATAAAAAGAATTGTTAGGTAATAAGAAAATCAAATGCATATAAATAAATGATATAATGATCCCGCTGCATAGTTCAATTCCTGAAATTGGAATTTAGCATGTAGTATAGCAATAAATAATAAAAAGTATCAGAAAATTAATAACTAAAAAAACGTTTGCCTTGAGCAGGGACAACAGGATCGCCGTCAAATTTAACTACCCCAACAACACCTCCAATTTTTCTGCGCAGTCACGTGATATTACATAATAATTAGATAAGCGATGATCGATTTTGTTACTAAACTATTACTATATCGCTACATACTACAATTTTTAAATATTTCCTTTTACGTAATACAATGCAAATTTTTTGCACGTATAAATAACGATAAAAAAACATCATTTTTTTTTTTTTACAAAATGTAAGATAAAATAAAACATGAATGAACCTGATATAAATGATCCCGATATGAATGAACTCGATATAAATGAACATGAAATGAATGAACCCGATATAATTGAACCTGATATAAATGAACCTAATATAAATGAAAACAATATACTAGAAAAATGCACAAAGTGCCGAAAGTTTTTGCTCCAAAATAAATTTATTAAAAAAAAAAATACCTTAAAAAAAAAAATCTTAAAATCTTGTGAATCTTGTCATCAGCAATCTTCAAGCCATTATAAAGATTTAGTTGAACACTATGAAAATGAAGTATTACTTTCTGAAGAAATGGTTGAAAAACTTTTTAATGAAATTTCGCTAGTTGGATCTGATGAGTATTTTGAAAATGATTCCGATGAAATTAATTTTAAATCAATTATTGTATTGAATGATTTTAAAAATCAAGGAGATACCCCTCAAGAGATAGCAAAAAAAATTGCAAATTTGATAGGTGATAGTGATGATTATTATTATATTTATTTTAATTACTATAGTTCACAAAAAGATAATAAATTGCATACATTTAAATATCGATGTTCTCAGTGTCGAAGTTTAGCTAAAAAGCCTCGTAAACATCAAGATCCTAAATGTCAAAGAGATCATGGATCAATTGAATATTTTGATTGTAATGGAACACTTAGAATTTCTATAAACATGATAACCAACAATGCATCCATTTAGCTTAAACATGAAATTCTTCACAAACAACCTGAAAGGAATCGAGTTACAGAAGAAATCAAAAATATAATTCAAGCAAACCTTCATTTAATATTATGTGATATTTATAGAATGTTAGAGTCTAACTATCCTGAAATAATACAAAAACAGATTCACGCATGATGGACAATATTTATTAAAAAAAATTTTATTCGAGATGTTAATCAAATAAATTCTTCTAAAATTCTTTTAGAAGAATATAATTACAAAATTATTATATTTAATATCAATAATGGAATTAGTTTTTTAGATTTTGTTACATTATTTTTTGAACAATTTAAAAAAAAAGGAAATTTTCATAGATGCAACCTATAAGACGAACAGACTAGGACATGAGCTTTATTCAATAGTTGGTCAATATAATGGAGTTAGGCTTCACATTAGCATACTTATTTATTAAAGATGATAAACAGGATGGTGCATGAATTGAAATTTTAGCAGATTTTTTCAAGATATTAATGTATTTGAGAATGGATCAACTTATTTGCATGTATACAGATAAAGATCTTGCTCAGATATTAGTAGTACGACAAGCATGGCCAAACATTAAAATATAAATTTGTTATTGACACTTAAAGAAAGCTCTTAAAAAATGATTAGCTGACAATACTTTACCTCAAAAAATAACGTATAGTTCATATGATGCACATAGTATATTTAACTTTATCGATATTGAATTTTATCCTGAATTGCCTATAAACAGAATTAAAACAAAAAATAATTTTATTTTTTGTTCAAAGAACCTGTAACCACAAATTATTTCAATGATAGAATATCATATGTATTTACATCTATTTATTCCTAAGTCAGAAATAAATTTTATAACAAAAGAGGAAATCTGGATATAGTATACAAAAGAAATATATGAATTTTGTACTACTAATGAGCTTAAACATCTTTAGTCATATATGTGGCAAAATTGGTATCATAGTGAACTATGGCCCTTATAGACACACTCATCAATGCCTGATCGAATTTGTATTTTTTGCACTACAATGCTAATTGAGTCACATTAGAAGGTTATAAAGTATGATTTTTTGTCAAAGTTTTTTAGACCATGACTGGATCTTGTAATTTATATTCTTATTACACAACTTATACCACATTATCAGCAACAATATTCCAAATATTATTATGGTCGAGAAATGCCTTCATTGCGCAAAGAATTTAAAAAAGAGTGGAACACATTAAAAAAAAAGATCTTCATCATACTTACTTGACCAATATTGAAAATTGGTTTTGCAGTTGTACTGGATTTTTAATGAGCTGATTCTTTTTATGCAAACATCTTGTTCAATTATCATCTTATACTACTGATATATCTTTTTTCATAATATTAAACAACAAGATACATATCTATTTATAGCTTTACCACTATTGGCTCAAAAAACTTTATCAATTCGTAAACCATTATTACCAATATCAAATAATTCAAATGATTTATTATTATTAAATTATACATCTAATAACAATAATGATAAATCATTAACTAGTAAGAAATTTATATAATAAATTTTTATCTTGTTCACTAATTTGAATTAATGTCTATATCAAAAACTATCATTGCAGAAATAGATAATAATAATTCTGATCAGCTTTTTGAAAACTATGAATCAATTTTACAAGATGTACTATTAATAGTACAAGAACAAAATGAAGCTAATAATGTTAAGTGGACACAAGCTATTGAGAAAGTTTTAAAGAGATTAGTACTATGGTAACAGATATTAAAAAATATAAATGAAGAATAACAAATCCAAAAACATGGAAAGATCATAACAAATATACCATGTTCTTGTGAAAGGTATTAAAGATAAAAATTTGTTGTCTTAATTAAAATTATTCATACAATTAATAATACTTTTTTGTTTTTATATTTAGATTAATGAACTAAGATTTTTTGTGCATAATTTGAAATTTACAATTATTATAACATATAATTAAAACTGTCGCAGATGAACAAATTATAAATAAATTGATTAATTTACTATTTTGTTTTAATATAAATAAAGTAAGTTTTTATTCTGGCTAAATTTTAAATAGAATATAATTCTGTCAAATATTTATTAAAAGAAAAAAAAAATATATATTTAATTGCATACATATACTCAAGTTAAATTCAAAATTACTCTTTAAAATAAAATTCTAACTATTTAAAAGTTATATTAAATAATATTTTTGATATTTAAATTTATTTTTATAATTGTTTACTTGAAGAATTGTTAACAAAAGATTTACAATATTTTAAAATATTTTTAATAAATTTGGCCATGAATATTATTTAACACTCATCTAATCAAATTTGATCAATTTTGTTACAAAGTTTTTTCTAAGATATTTAAATTTTTTTAACTTAAACTTTCTCAGTGACCATTAAGCCAAATTCAATAAATCTTTTTTTATTTTGATTCTGTAAGTGTATCAAATTAAGATAAAAAAATTTTTACTGAATTTGATAGAGTAGTTATTGAGAAACCTTCGCTAGAAGTTTTAAAAAAATTTAAAAATTTATTAGTGAATAAATGATCATCGCTTATCTGATATCATGTGACTGCGCAGAAAAATTGGAGGTGTTGTTGGGCGGAAAGTCTACGGACACGTACCAGTCACGTGATATTTCTGCTTACGGGCACGTACCGATCACGTGACGATAATTTGGCGGTACTAATATAATCACATATT